AGAAAAAAAAGGGAAATTCTACTTATTAAATAGGAATATCTGAGTATTATGATTAAAAATTAAAAATTAAACATTAAATATAATTTTGAGGTATCTTAGGGTAAATATCCATAAATTAAATGAATAATTCATTAAAATGCCTCAAGAAACATATCAGTATCATATCAACATTTAGGAAATAGGTACTTTAATTTAATATCTTTACTGACTTTAGTTTTCCAAAATAGAATATATAAAGGCAAAAGATATTTTTGATTGATTCTAAGATTTATTTTCACATCTTAATAATTTAGCCAAAAATTAGTAATAAGATATATGAAATATTATAGGATATATATAACTCGAATTAGCAGCTAATAAAATTAAAAATAGTTGTATAAATCTTCTTTTTATTCTTATTTATTATTCTAGAATCTAACTAATTTCATTTGAGGTCTTCTTTATTTTTTTCTTTAATTATTTAATGAGCATTATCATACAGTTTAAAATCAAGTAATATTTAATTTAACTGGATTTCTTTTTTTGTTTGAAAAATAGTTCAAATAATAGATTTATCCTATGATTAAATGGTCTTTCTGAAATTCATACAGAACAACTATTTATTATTTTTTCTAACATCATGTTAATGTTAATGATCAAGATTGTAATAATTGTTCTTATTATTCTATAATTATACTTTTCGCGAATAATTATGTAACAAAAACTTCGTATAAATAAATAAAAAAAAATATCTTCTAATCAGTGTTCAGGGTATTTAAATAGAAATGCAACTATTGATGCTTGTAGGTCTTCAGCTAATATATCAATTATTTTTACTATTGAAAGATTTAAACACTTAAAATATAATTAATATTCCTGCAGATGCAAAGGGAACTGCTCCAGAATAAGTGATATTTCTTTTTATAGTTGATGAATAACAAAACAAAAAGAAGATTGGACTTATCATAATATATTTTGATACTTGCAAAATTCATAAAACCAAAAATGTAATTTATGAGTTTCCTAATGCTATTAAGTAAGCACAGAATAGAGCCTAAAATAAAGTAAATAATAAGAACACTAATGAATTTATTAAAGAAGTGAGTTCTTATCTAATGCCTTTAAAAAAGGTTAATTAGTTAGAAGTTTGTCTTTTTTTTTGAATTATGTATAGTGAACCAATACATATTGTCATATACAGAAATTCTATACTTTAAAGTAATTCAGATGCATTTTAAAAAGCTATCTATCTGAATATTAGAAATGATTATAGACCAATTTTTACATATTTCAAAGATAAAATTAGGTTGAATTTAGAGGAAATCTAACTAAAAAACTTCTACAATCACTAATAATTAAGGAAGTGAACTCAATTTAGAATCAAGAAGTTACAAATAAGAATTTCAAATATGATAGCTACAAAGAATCTAAATATTCAAATGAAAATCATGATAATACAATTGAATCCAAAGTGTAAATTTGCAAGCTTATTTTATATAATTATTACATTATAAATCAATACTAGACCTTATTGACAATTTTAAGAGTATCTTCTGGCATAAATTGGCACATGAATAAAAGTCTAAATTTATATTTTCAATTTTATAAACTAAAAATTAGTATTTTTATTATTTTAAAAATTTCAATCAAGATTTCTATTCAACCAAATAATTTTCTTCTATTGCT